TGGTGCTGCATGCTTTAAGCTGCCTGCAATTTTATGTTGAGTGGGAGGTTTAAAAAGTCTACTTCACTTTTGACTCCTTGTGCTTTTTATCAGTGTGTTGTTTTCTTGGCAAGTGAGGCAATTCATAGGCAAAATAGCAATAGCACTTAGAGATTTTATATACTGCTTCATAATGCTTTACAGCCCTCTCTGAGTGGTTGACGGAGTCAGCATATTGCACCCAATAATCTGGGTCCTCATTTTACTGACTTCAGATGGATGGAAGGCTGAGTCAACCTTGAGCGGGTCAAAAAGAACCCCTGACAGTGAGCAGTGAATTAGTCTGTAATCCTGTATTCTAACCACTGAGCCACCAGGGCTTAAAACTGGTGCTTTAAATCTTACAGAGGCTTTGGACACCATTTCCTCTGTTAACGCCCGCATATGCTTTGCACCCATTTCTGAGACATTTTGCAGACTGAAAAAGCATGGATTCTCTACATACATGCATGCATGCATGCATGCATAGGGGCGTGTTTCTGTATTTCTTTCACATATATGTGTATCTATATAATCTATTCTCGCAGTATTTCCTGGTACATATGATAACAATTTGCAATGCTAGCATTTTGTAATTTACCCAAGTTAGCAAGAGAATTTCACAATTGTGTGGATATTTGAACTTGGATCTGGCTTTGTGTCATAATGCATGTTAGTGGTTAATCTGTTAATGTCATTTTGGCATATTTGTTTTTTCATTGCAATATATGCTTCTTTTTCTTGTTTGCACATCTTGTGCAACCATTTTATAAACAGTAATTAAAGTAACCCTTTTATGTGAATCTTATAGACAAAGAGAATGTTAAGAAGAGCCTTCTGGACAGCAGAGAATCAGAAGCAGGACTAAAAAGGGAAGCAAATCCTTTACATCTGATAATCAACATCTTTTCCTTTCCCTCCAAAAAGCCACAAAACTCTTCTTCTCCATCAAGTGAGCAACAAGTGAGGAAAAAAAATAGGAAAAAGTTTTGAGCTGGGAAAAAAAATTATATCTGGAACTCAAGGAAACTTTACATGAAAAGATAAAAGGAGGAACATTTTCAAATTAAAAAAAAGAGGCAATATCTAGAAGTCTGTGGGGAGGCATCAGTCATTCCAGAAAGCAATGCAGGCGCCATCCTGTGAGGAAAGAAGCAGCTTGAATCAAAGCACCATCCAAGAAAGGATCACAAATATTTTTGACCTCCTCAAGAACCCAAGGTTATCAGTGGTGGAAAACCTTCACAGATGTACATATTGTGGAAAAAACGCAGATTGCAAATCACAGCTGATTATGCATGAGAGGACCCACACTGGTGAAAAACCGTACCAATGTTCTGAATGCGGCAAAGTCTTTTGCTACAGCTCCCAACTTTTTGAGCATAAAAGAACCCATAATGGAGAAAAGCCCTATCAGTGCCCACAGTGTGGCAAAAAGTTCAGTAAGCATGCCACACTGGTGATACACAAGCGGACACACACCGGAGAGAAACCATTTGAGTGTCCAGAATGCGGGAAAAGTTTCAATCAGAATTCCAACCTGGTGATACACCAGAGGACGCACACAGGAGAGAAACCGTATGTCTGTCAGGAATGTGGGAAAAGTTTCCGTCAGAATTCCAACCTGGTGATACACCAGAGGACTCACACAGGAGAGAAACCATATGTGTGTCAAGATTGTGGGAAAGGTTTCATTCGAAATTCTGACCTGATGATACACCAGAACACTCATACAGGAGAGAAAGTGTATGTGTGCACACGTTGTGGGAAAAATTTCATTCGGAATTCTGATCTAGTAGTACACCAGAGGACTCACACAGGAGAGAAACCATATAAGTGTCCAGACTGTGGGAAAAGCTTTAGTCGGCCTTCCCACCTGGTGACACACCAGAGGACTCACACAGGACAAAAACCATACAAGTGTCTGGATTGTGGAAAAAGTTTCAGGCGGAATTCTGACCTGGCGATACACCAGAGGATTCACACTGGGGAGAAACCGTATGAGTGTCCAGATTGTGGGAAACATTTCACTCGAAATTCTGACTTGGTGATACACCGGAGGACGCACACAGGAGAGAAACCGTATGAGTGTCTGTATTGTGAGAAAAGTTTCAGTCAGAACTCTTACCTGGTGATACACCAGAGGACTCATACAGGAGAGAAACCGTATGAATGTCCAGATTGTGGTAAAAGTTTTACTCGGCATTCCAACTTGATGATACACCAGAGGATTCACACAGGAGGCAAACTGTATGAATGTCCTGATTGTGGGAAAAGTTTGAGTCGGAATTCCAATCTTATGATACATCAGAGGACTCACACCAGAGAGAAACCATATGATTGTCTAGAGTGTGGGAAAAGCTTCAATACTAGATCAAATCTTACCAGCCACATGAAGTTGCACACAGGAGAGAAACCCCACAAGTGTTCAGACTGTGGGAAAAGTTTTAGTTGGAAATCTGGCTTGGTGACCCACCAGAGGATTCACACAGGGGAGAAACCGTATGAGTGTCCTGACTGTGGGAAAGGTTTCAGTACTAGGTCTAGCCTTATAAATCATGTAGGTTTACATACAGGGGAGAAACCATTCAAATGTACAGAGTGTGGACGATTCTTCACACAAAATTCCTCCCTTGCTACACATAAGAAAATCCACTTGGTGCAGAAAGAGATGGATGTAGAGAAGACATGAATTTCATTTTTCTTCTCCATTTGGTAATACAGCTGAGAAATTAAATAGTTAATTCCTTACCAGATTCTTTTTAATCACACATATATTAGACATGATGGAGGAGAGAAAAAAATTGGAAAATATTACCGGTACTTTGATAAAAGTTAAGTGCATGTATCTGGTTATGTGAGGATTTGCTAGATATTTCAGGGAACTGCGCAGCCGGTATCCAAATGAAGTCATAGACGCTGAAACAAACTTGTAGTTTTATATATATATATTATATATATATATTACGTCTATATTTACAGCAAACAAGATAGTTAGACAAATAGGAGCATCAAATACAGCACACAGAAGAAAAGGGCTGGGGGGGGAGGGAAACTTCCCCTTCGCACCCACAGCAACCAATCGCAGTGCAGATTGCCTCCCACTAGAGCCAGTACTCTCCAGCCAATCAACTATAAATATGTGTTCTGGCTCTATACAACCCCCCTGTTCCAGCTATCAAACGCAAATATCTTAGCAAGATATTTAGCAGAAATTGTACAATTACTACAAAAAGGGCTTTAGGGGTGATTTTTTTATTTTTTTTGCTGTTTGATCAGCGATGATCATAGAACTCCAGCCTTCTTCAACCTGGGTGCCCTCCAGCTTTCAAGCCCCATAAATTCCCAGCTAGCATACCCTTTGCAGAAAAGAACTGAAAAGCATAGGAGGAAGATAGAGGAGGAATGTTTTCTGCCTCGAGTTATTTCTACATGTAATAAAGGCAGAATATAAATATGGTTGCATGTATTTTTATTTAATAAGAAAATTTTTATGGCAGACCAACTCATGGTGTCTCTAGGCGGTTACAGCAATAGAACCCTAATACAGAATACATTGCAAATGGCAAAATGCAGAGCCTCGGGGAATTCCAGAAATGTGATTCTTTTGTTCAAATTAGAAGTTTAACTAGGCCTGGCTTTACTAACAAGGTTGATGCCTGGTGCCATTTTTGCTTGAAACTGATATTGTTTCTCCTTGCAAGGAGTTAAATGGGAGACATTAACTGGGATGAACGGCATATACATTTGATGAATAAAGAAATGCATTGTGCCTCAAGCAACTTGCAGATGGGCATCTTCAGCAGAACCTTTGTTGGATTCAACATTAAAACATTTATATAGCCACCTATGTTACTTAAAACAAATTCTGGCCAGCTGCCTATCAAAAATTAACACAAAAACCATGCTATTAAAACCAAATGCATAAAAACAAAAACCTGGTGACAAATGAAGCTTCTGATGCCTCCACTTATCCCAGTGCTTGGGGGAAGGGGGGAGAGAGGGAGGTTTCATGCAGGTGTTAAAAAGGAGCAGCAAAGGGCTTCAGCCCCGGGGTACCCAATATTGCAGGAACCTAGGACTTAGCCATTCCTCTCCTACTCATCCCGACTGGAATTCGCCACGGAGGTAGAAGAAGATCCATCATAACCCTTAATGGGGTTATAAAAAGCAATGTCACACATAACCTCACATAGGGGAATCCGGGCAGTTCCAGTTGCCATTACAACTCCAGGACCACTTGGATCATTAAGTAAGGACCTCATTTGTCGGTGATGTGGGAAGAGACAGGAATCCCAGGCAAGCAGAGCTGCAGGTGAGAGGTACGGGCAGGTGGGTGACCTCCCGGCCTCCTTTCTGGGGCTGGGAGAGGAACTGACCCAAAGGCCTCCACAGCAGACTTTCTGCCTAGGATTCCCACTCACCGTCTGAGTTCCTAGCCTAAGGTTTTAACCCTACACCAAAATGGCTCTCATATAACATTGTCTATTGCAGTATTTCTCAACCTTGACAATTTTAAGGCATGTGGACTTCAACTCCCAGAATTCCACAGCCAGCAATGCTGGCTGTGGAATTC